GCCTTTCCAAATCTCCCAATAAGCACAACAGGCTGTACATGAAGGCCCGGCCCTTCCCTGATGGCCTGGCTGAAGATATTGACAAAGGCGAAGTTTCTGCCCGTCAGGAGCTCAAGCAAAGGGCTCGGTACCTGGCTGAGAAGTATGAGTGGGATGTGACTGAGGCCCGTAAGATTTGGTGCTTTGGCCCTGATGGAACTGGGCCCAATGTTCTCACAGATATCACCAAGGGAGTACAGTACCTTAACGAGATCAAGGACAGCGTGGTGGCTGGATTCCAGTGGGCTACCAAGGAGGTAGATAGCCTTAAAATTAATATTGGAGTACTGTATACTTGTTATTCAGCTTTACTTATATTAGATCAGAGAGAAGAGGGAAGGGGTCAGTGGAAAGAACTTATTTGGGGACAGCTGAGGTTCTAAAGCAGATAAATTACTAAAGGTCAAGATACTTCTCATAGAGGGTCCGTAGTTACATATATTTATAATTTTTTTTTCCATTCAGGGAGCACTGTGTGAAGAGAACATGCGGGCGGTCCGTTTTGATGTACATGATGTGACCCTGCATGCTGATGCCATTCACCGTGGTGGCGGCCAAATCATCCCCACAGCGCGGCGCTGCCTATATGCCTGTGTGTTGACTGCTCAGCCCCGTCTTATGGAACCCATCTATCTTGTGGAGATTCAGGTAGGAAATAAGCTATGCTATGTGAGACCTCTTGGGGAAACTAAAAAACTCTGGGTTGGTCTGACCTCATCTTTGCCACACTGTCACTTAATGTTAACTTCTTAAAAATTTGTTTAGTGTCCAGAACAGGTGGTTGGAGGCATTTATGGTGTCCTGAACAGGAAGCGAGGGCATGTGTTTGAGGAGTCCCAGGTTGCTGGCACCCCCATGTTTGTTGTGAAAGCCTATCTGCCTGTCAATGAATCTTTTGGTAAGCACGAAATTCTATAGTAAAAGACCTTTCAATAAAGAGGATATGTTAGTATTAGTGCCAGTTTGTTTGGAAAACGTGTTTTGGATCTTGGGGTTCTATCACTAATTTACTGACTTGGACTGGAGCTCATTTTCCTCATCTCCTAAAATGAAAAATGATCCCCTCCCTCTCTGGTGGTTGAGGATCAAGTGAGTTTTGATGCTTGTAGAAAGTATATAGGGGTTTACAAGCAATCTTGGTTTGTTGAGTCTTGTAATGAAAACTCATTTTAAGAACACTTTTTTCAGTGAAGGAGATACTTGCACTGTTACAGGTTGGTCATTTTTATGTTTGAGGCGATGTTAAGTTGGTACTTAGTTTCAATTCTAAGCTTTGCCTTTCTCATCCTTCCCCTTCTCTTCTAGGCTTCACAGCTGACTTGAGGTCTAATACAGGTGGCCAAGCCTTCCCTCAGTGTGTATTTGACCATTGGCAGATCCTGCCTGGAGACCCCTTTGACAACACTAGCCGCCCTTGCCAGGTTGTGGCAGAGACCCGCAAACGCAAAGGGCTGAAGGAAGGTATCCCGGCTCTGGACAACTTCCTGGACAAATTGTAAAAGCTCTTTCCAACATCAGTTCAAACTCCTGTTGGACTCTAGCATAACACCAATGCAGCAAATTGTTAAAACTGCAGTGACATCTCTTTGCATATACTTAATCAGTTCATAGCAACTTGAGACTTTCAAAACACATTGATATTCAGCCTTATAGGTTTCTGTGTTGCACATGACACATTTGGGGCCCACTCGGTGCCATAACTTGAAACATTTCCACTTGATGCAACTTGAGTTGCCTGTTTCCATATTTATTCAAGTCTTCAAAGAGGCAGAAAAAGTCCTCTTTGCAGGGTATATTTGACCAGGGGGGTGGTTTGGGATAGGTACCTAACATTTTCTTTTTTTCATTTTTCAAAGGGAAACACAGTGCCCCCCCAAATTGCAAATGAGTGCATTAAGAGGTTTTGCTTGGGTAAATGGCCTGTAGTGGATCTTCAGGAAGGGTGAGGGGAAAGTTAAGGAGATATTTTCTAGTTGGCCAGAAACTAGAAGGCAAGAAAATTTTGTGCAGTGTGATTGTCATCATGAACATCTACAGATGTATTAGTGCCATTGGAATAATAAATTTGATATGGTGATGAATATCAATAACAGTGTTGAAGTGATTCATTTCAAGTATGGGGTTGTTTTTTCCCTCTGGGTGCCATTCTTCGTGTGATTTCCTCAGCAAGTTAACTTGGGATTCAGTTAATTAACAAGTGCTTTCTTCCTGCTTCAGGATTTCAGCACTCATTTGGCAAGGATCTTGGACCATATAAACTTGACATTTGGTTAACTTAAGTATTGCAGAAATAACTGCATTTAATGCTTGTGATTATGAATGTTTTTGTTTTGTTTTGTTTTGTTTTTGGTACTAAAATAAAAGTTGTCCATCCCTGGAATACATGGTTAAATGCCCCATTTGGTTCTGTTTGTGTGAAACTATCCGAAATATGATCAGCTCAGGTTACTACCCTGCACAGGTTGTACATTCTACTTCGATGAAGCATTCTCCTGGAATCTTAACAGTACTTGGCTTTCCTTGCTGCAACTTGAGATTGTGGCTTGGATAAGGCTCTAAGCAACTAATTAACTGGAATATTAGCTAGTAGTGGAGATTTGTTAGTAGAATCGTGGCTAGAGATCCTTGCATGCTATTTCTGAAGTGCTGAGAGTGGCTTGGATGTGGAGTAGCAATTCTAAAGGGGGTGTATTCAGCCAGAAAATCAGACTGGCTGCAAAAGAAGGGATATCTCTACCATGAAGTATCCCTTGGGAGAAAAAGCTGGGATATAGAAGGCCTCAGCTGTTAAAGCTTGTTTGGAATTAGCTTGGGCATTGTTTTCTGAATGACTTTACTCAGCTTTCACAGACAGCAAGGTTTGCTAAAAATGCCCATTGTACCCATGTATGATTTAGCTTCATGAAAAAAACTTAGAGAAGCCCAGCTCTGTCCTCAATAAAAATTTTTTGGAAAAAAATTTCAAAAAAAAATTTAAGATTTATTAGTGTTTGAAAGGTCACAATGCTATAGATATTTTGAGTTTCTGTGACTAATCCGATTTAATTCTGGTGATTGTTTAGCTATGCAAGTCTTTGGATAACCTATATACTATCAACCTATATTAGGGGGAAGGGGAATTGTGTGTTTTGAGTTTGAAGACTGCCCTGTGGTTGACAACCTAAAATAATTTAATATGCCAGGATGAGATAGGGGAGTAGCTGATGTCTCCATGTGGTATCTCCATGATAATTTCACACGTCTCTTTATTCACATGACCATCCTGCTCACTATTCTCATCTGAACTTTTAACTTTGATTTCCCTGAATTCTATCAACTACTCATCTTTAGGCACAACTATGAGCTTGTGTAGCTTTTAAAGTCCTTGATAGCCTGGACCCAACCAACCAACCTTTCCAACTTTAAACATTCCCTACGTTTTGTGGTCTGTCCAAATTGGGTATCTTACCTGGCACTGCACCGATAGTTGGGTGTTTGCCTTGGCTGTCCCCGATACCTAAAAATCTCTGGTTTTCTTCTAGACCCAGTGCAGGTAGAGGCACAAAGCCATTCCTGAGTCCCTAACCTGCTAGGATCTCCACCCCTCAAATTGTATAGGTGTTATTTCACACCTAATTTATGTACGGCTCCATAAAGTGTAAACTCATTAAGGGGCAGGTACTTGATTTTTTAAAAATTTTATACTTTGGTCACTTTGATGCTGTGCACGCCTTCCTTGTTGACTGTATCAGACTGATCTCAATGACATTTCCCTGATTTTTCTCTGGCATTAGCTGCCAGTGCTGATGCTTTTAGTTGTCATTAGACCCTTTATAACAGTTGGCATATACATTTTATACCTGCAATTTATTTGGACTGAGCTAACTCACTTTAAGGCCACTGTACGATGGTGTCAGATTGTTGAGTTGTGTCTGACTAATACATCCTGTATGGGATTTTCTTGGCAAAGATCCTGGAATGGGTTGCCATTTCCTCCTCCGGTTCATTTTGCAGAAGAGGAAACTGAGGCAAACAGGGTCACACAGCTAGTGACTGAAGTCGCATTTGAACTCGGGTCTCCCTCCAGGCCAAGCACTCTATCCACAGCACCATCTAGCTGCCCATAGTTCTGATGGTGCCAGAGCTAGGCTTCAGATCTTGCTTCTGGGATCTGGGCAAGTCACAATCTCCCCGAATTTATTTCCTCGCCTGTAAAACTTGGATGAGATGGCCTCCGAGTTCTTTTTCGGCTCTAGATCTAAACTTGTGGGTTGGTACGCTTGGGAATCTCACCTGGGTCCAAATCACTGCATTTTACCGGCCTCAGGAAAGTCAGTTCTCTATCCTGGCCCTCACAGTGGTGAGGAAAAAGCTTTTAAGGGAAACAGGCACTAGGCGTCTACTATGTGCTGGGCCCTGGGCTAACTAACCATAGGCGATCCCCTGTCTTCCGGGAGTTCACGCTCTAAGTTGTCTAATTCTTCATAAAATCTTTTCAAGCCTCAAAGCACTTAGAGAAATGCAAGTTCTGTATTACGCAGAACAATGACTGCAGGGACCTGCACAGAGGAAATGTACAAACGTTTAATGAATGAAGCGGAAAGAAACCCCAACTTTGGAGACGAAAGCTCTGGGCTGGCACCCAGAGGGAGATCTAGGAACCGGAAACCAGTCTTTCTTCCTCCGCCTCGCTCACTTGCGCCTGGAACAGCCAATCGGCTTCTTTTCTGGCTCGTTCTTGTCCCGCCCTTCTCCCCCTCCGCCGTCTAGTGGCCAGCAAATCCAGGACCAACAGTTGAGCCCCCGGGAGCTCGTGGGCGGGGCTTTCCCGGAGAAGTTCCTCGGCCCTGGTTGGCAGGGGAGGGAGGGGTAGAGAATGACAGGGCTCTGTGGGCGGGGGAACGCCAGAGCGCGATGACGTTGGAGAGAGGGGGCTGAGGATAGGCCAGTGGGGCCGGCGCGGTGACGACAGAGTATGTCGGAATGCTGCGGCGGCGCTGACCGGGTGCTGAGGTAAGCGCCGGGGCTGGCTGCAGACTCGCCTTCCCTTCTTAGACCCTTGACGGGATTCCGGCGGCACGGAGCCCGAGGTAGGAGGCCGGGGGAGACAGTGCGGGGACCGTTGTGTAGCTTGGGGGAGGTCCCTGCGGGGGTCACTCTTTGAGGGTCTCGGGAGGGGAATGGGGGGCTCGGGGGGCCTCGGCGGGGCGCAGGGCTCGAAGCTGAGCCGGGGGCGGGAAGCCTTGGAGGAGCAGACCAGGCCGGGGAGGGAGCACAGTGAGCTGGGAAGGAGTTGGGTGGGTGGTATGGGTGGAAGGATATCCTTGGCCTCAGGGTGTCGTGTAGAGGTTAAGGGGCCCACCTTGGGCCAAAAGGGGGCGAAGTATTGGTCTTGGAGGGGACTGTCCGGGCGTGCGTGTGTGTGTGATGTCCCTGGGAGTCAGGGAGGGTCGGGGTGAGGGACGTATAGCATGCCCAGCCCCCTTAGGCCAACCCCGTTAGGCTCCTAACTCCCGGAGGGTTTGTCCTCCTCTAGGCCGCTCTACTTGGTGCTGCAGCCCCTTTGCTCTCCCCTGAACCCGCCTGTCTTTTTCAGGCCTGCTCTGGGGGCTTTCGCCGGCATCCTCTTGTCATACTGCAGCAGTTGGGCATCCTTTTGGAGTCGAGAGCGTAGTGACAGGACTGGCCTGCAGCCATGTCCACCTTCAGGCAGGAGGATGTGGAAGACCACTATGAGATGGGAGAGGAATTGGGCAGGTAAGTGTCTAGGGCTGGGAGAGAGGCTGATTGCAGGGGACAGCTAGCTGTACAATCCTATGTGAACTTCTGCTTTCTTCACCTCCTCATTCTGGGAGACAGGTTAACAGGTTAATGTTACCTTTTATCCTTTTTCATAGAAAGACTGGAGGGAAGGTGGTAAGGAAGGGCTCCCCTGAGGCCTCTAGAAGTTTGAAAAAAGGAGTTGAGTTCCTTGCTCCATTCTTACCAATCCCCTCTGTTTTGATTTTTTGCGAGAAAAGCTTAAATCCCCTGATCCAACAAAGTAGATGATTTCCTGTAAGTCTGTGTATTTGATTAGTCCTAAGGGCTCAACTCTCCCACGGAGCCTCAAACCTTATATGGTGAGTTTTGTTCAGGCATCTCTCCTAGTGCCGCCTATAGGCCAATCGGATGATGTCACCAGATAAAAATGTAAATAACTGTGTATTGTGTGTGTGTTCTGCTGAAAAGAGTTTCTTCTGACCACATGGGCCTCTTTGTTCCTTTAAATCATACTCTGCTTTTGGAATTCCTTCAAGTTGAGGCATGTAGGTTAGTAGGATGAAAGTAACAAGGTATTTCTTATAACAGTAGCTCACATTAAGTAGAACGTTCAGGTTTATAAAACACCTTCCTTATAATAGCCTTGGAAAGTAGGTAGTGTGTAATCTGTATTTTATAGATGAGAAGACTGAAGCTTAGAAAAATAAAGTGACTTGTCTATTGTTACATTTTTTAAGAAATGGGATTTGAACCCAAGTTTCATGACTCTAAGTTCAATATTCTTATTACTTAGAACACCATACTGCCTGATCCTTTGGATTTCTCACTTAATTGAGAAATCATTCGATGTGTGTTGCACCTTTCCATGAACTCAGCATTGTGCTTTTTTGTTGGGGATATAGAAGAATTATAAGGTGTGGTGCTGGACCTTGGGGCTGCTAGATACTTGCTGGCTGGTTTCATGGGATTTGTTTTTAAAGTGTAACTGGAAAGACAAAACTTAAATGCAATAATAGAAATTAATGAGAATTTGTGTGGTACCAACTCTCAGAAAAATAGGAGTTTGGAGAGGGGAAAGAGAATGGAGGAGGTGAGATTTGATTGAGACTTTAAAGAATAGGTAGGCTTTGGAGAGGTAGAAGAGTGGGTGAGCATTCCACGTCGGGGTTGAGGAGGAACAAAGGCTAGGAGTCTGGAATGAGCATAGTGTCCTCAGTTGTAGTGATGAGAAAGGCTTGACTGAGTGGGTGGTTGCTATTGGTAAGGGCTGGGGAGGGTTTTTTCAAGGAAGTGAGATAAGAGTGGAAAGGTAGATTAGGGCCTGACTAAGGAGTACTTTGCCCTCCTACTCTCTTATGACTTCTGCTTTATGTTTTTTGATTTGTATAGTATTTTTATTACCCATTTTCTTGCCTTGGAAGTCATCCAACTGCCTTTCTTTCTACTTTCTGGACATATTGTCTCACATCCACCAATTAAGAGGTTAAGGGGACAATATCCAGCTTTCTATGTATACTACCCGAAGGAAATCTGACAGTGTATGAATATGTTTATGAGTTCTGAGTATGAAGAGATGTGGACATGATCCTACAGGATCACTATTTTTAGGAGCCAACCCAAAATTGGCTTACTCAAGCCCTTTTCCCATAGCTGAGTTATTCTACCATAGGCTTATATTCTTAGTTCTAGCAGCTGCTGTCCTCATTCTTTCCTAGAGTTAGTAGCCTTCCACACCTAATTGGAGAGTATATGTCTGGAAGAATACCAACTATCTGCAGGTGTCTTGGGTGCTTTGTTCAGCATTGTGGGAGAAACATTTATGGAGTTTGAACACAAGCCTCCTCGCCCACTGGATATATAGGAAGAATAAAAAAGGGGGCCTTTGCTTTTCTAAGAACTTTCCTCTTTTTCTATCTTTCCCTTCATATTTTCCCTTATTTTGCTTCTTCCCTGAACTTTGTACAGTGGCCAGTTTGCAATTGTGCGGAAATGCCGTCAGAAGAGCAATGGGATGGAGTATGCAGCCAAGTTCATCAAGAAGCGTCGATTGTCGTCTAGTCGTCGGGGGGTGAGCCGGGAGGAGATAGAGAGGGAGGTGGACATTCTTCGGGAGATCCAGCACCCTAACATCATTACCCTCCATGACATCTTTGAGAACAAGACAGATGTAGTGCTGATCTTGGAACTGGTTTCTGGGGGTGAGCTCTTTGATTTCTTGGCTGAAAAGGAGTCCCTAACCGAGGAGGAGGCGACCCAGTTCCTTAAGCAGATCCTTGATGGTGTCCATTACCTGCACTCCAAGCAGATTGCCCACTTTGACTTAAAGGTGAGCCTTGCTTTCCTGCCTTACCTTACCTTTCCTTGGGCCCTCCAGTCTGTTCTTTCTTAAACTTGGTGTAAGGAAGACCTTGGTTTGAATACTGCCTCTGCACTTACAAGCTAAGTGACCCTGGGGAAGTCACTTAACCTCTCTTAGTCTCAGTTTCCTCATTTGTAAAAGGAATGGGTTGAACTTGATGGCCTCTACAGTCTAAACACTTAAGTCTGTAATCATATGATCCTCTTGTTTCTGACCCTCAGAATTCTGGCCAGTTCTAGAAATGATGCTTTGCTTGATATTCCTGCTTCTTCAACACCTTCCTTATTTCCTTTTATGGAGAGGAGTTAATTTATGGGGTTTTTTTGGTCTGAGTATTTAAGCCCCTATTTGTTGTTCCATCTTTCTATTTTTCTTTCATTTTGGGCTTTGGGCCTCTCTAGTTTATTTGTTTTGGTAGAGCTGTTCAAATTGAGTTTTTCCTTTTCAGAGACAGCTGTCTGTCAGTGCTTGGTCCAAGTCTGGGAGGGTTAAATGGCTTTCTATCATAAGCTTATATTTCTTTCTAATTTGGAGCATATTTGACAATAATTGTTGCACCAGATTTATTCTTAAACCCCACAAAGCCTGATTTTCTTCCCTTTCTCACAGCCGGAGAATATCATGCTTCTGGATAAGAATGTGCCCAACCCTCGAATCAAACTAATTGATTTTGGCATTGCCCACAAAATTGAGGCAGGGAACGAGTTCAAGAATATTTTTGGAACCCCGGAGTTTGTAGGTAAGTGGCCATCCTATGGAGATGATGGAGGTGATAGGGCCCAGAGCTTTGGGAAGAGGACTGTGTTGAACATTTAAGCACCCCCAAATGATTAAGTTGCTTTTTCTGGCAGAGGGAGAGGCTAAGGGTACTGGCTGCAGCATCTCTTAAAGTCTAAGAATGCCTGGCTTTCCTCACTATAAAGAATTTCTGTTACTACCTTCTGGATTGCAACCACCTATTTCCCTGTTTGTCACATTATCCTCTCCTTTGGGCATATAGAAACTCAAGTGCCTAAGTTGTGTCCAAAACCAGTTCCCAAGTTGACTTTACCTTGTTGCATGTCCAGGTGTTTATACTAGAGTTGATCTTTTTACAAAGGAGGACTGATCCAACTTCTCTTCCTATCCCTCCTAAAGCTCCTGAGATTGTGAACTACGAGCCACTAGGTTTGGAGGCGGATATGTGGTGAGTGAGACGAGGTGATGTGTTGGCCTTCCCTGATAGCCTTCAATTCCCCAGCAGTTTGGCTAGGACTCAGTTTCCCAATGGAAATACATCTGGAATTATAGTGTCCCTTAGTATAAGGAGGTGAGGCAGCTTTTCTTTATGCAGTGTCTCTCATTCCTCTTTACATACATCTCTTAAAGGAATGGGGATCAGACCAGTCCCTACCTCTAACAGTCTTATGAGGCTCAAGGCCAAGACAGTCAAACAGACTGACTCGTTCCTATGACTTCTTCCTTCACTTGAAACATTAAAACCTGGTGGGAAGGGTGAGATTTGAGCCTGCCATTGACTTTTTGGTTCCCTTCTCCCTCCTTCTTCTTTCCCTAGCTAGTATCCTTGATTTTTTTTTTCTTTTTGGTGAGGCAGTCAGGGTTAAGTGACTTGCCCAGGGTCATACAGCTGTGTATGTCTGAGGCTGGATTTGAACTCGGGTACTCCTGACTCCAAGGCCAGAGCTCTATCCACTTCACCACCTAGCTGCCCCTAGTCTCCCTGATTTAAGGATGCCTCAGAATACATCATGTTTCACAGAAGGAGCCTGTATTCACTCCACTATAAGGGGAGCTGTCTTTTGGCCTTCCCAGTCTGAGACTAGTGACTAGTGGATGCTTCGTGGCATTACCTGACCTTCTGAGCTCTGCTTTGGTTCTCAGAGTGTAGAGATGATTTTTAGGCAAATGGGTATATGAACCTGCAGTATTAGCAATCAGGAGGCGTCATAGAGTTGATATGATCCAATTTCCTCATTTTACAAGCAGGGAAAATTGAGGTCCAAGGAGGGGAAGATTTTTGGCCAAGTGGGACAAGGGCATACTTGCCTATGTCTCCTGGTCTCCAGTTACATTTCAGAAATCCTGGGAGTTCTAGTGAGGTTTATCAACCTAATATCCTTGCTGTCTTCCAAAAGCTTCCTTTCTGTAGTCTTTTCTGCTTTCAAACTTTTGTCCTGATAATGGCAAATCCAGAGCAGGGTTGCCACTCTCTGTATCCAGAGAGGCTCTGGATAGAGCTTTGCTAAAGAAAAAGCATGGGCTTTGCCCCTTCTGTGTGCCTCATTTTCTCTTGTTAGTAGCTCACTGGAGTTATAGAATGACATTCCATAGTGACCAGATTTCTTTCTTCTCTTTCCTTTCTCTCAGGAGCATTGGAGTGATCACATACATCCTGTAAGTGTTTTCATATTTAATTTTCCTTGCAGATGTCTCTGGTTAGGAGAAGATGTTGATGGCATGTCAACTCATTCTCAAACAAGCAGTTTTTGAGCATATAGAAAATGCTTTGCCCTGTAATGGATGTTGTGATGGACAGCAGAAGAGGAGCTGTGGTTCTCGTCCTCAAATACTTCCCACAGATTGGGGAAGGCAAGACTTGCACATATGAAGTAACTACAGAGCAGTGACAGATAGAAGAGAATTGACCGCTGGCCTGTGTGGTACAGATGCTGTGTGCTTGTGATGCTCACTCAAAGTGTCCTGCTCATGTTGCCTGGCTGGCTCTGTTATACCACATCGGGCTTTATGATTAGCACTGTGAATGCCAGAAAGCTCAGTAGTTTTCTGACATTTTAACAGGAGGGTGAAGCATACTTCCCTCACTTATTAAATGGGGGAAACCAAGTAGTTGTTTGGTATTGGAGAGTTGAGGAGATAATTCTTGGGCTATACTTCATGTTTCCTCGAGTCAGCAGCACAGGACGGTATTTGGGGAAAAGGTACTGTTTAAATCCAGACCTGTTATCTATCCTGCCAAGTGAAAGAGCAGGGACTTTGTCCTTCTCATGTTTTTGGTTCCTGTGACTTCTGGGCTTTGTTTACATGATGCAGGCATTGAGGTACCTTGGGCTTCAGGCTGGTGGGGGCTCTGAGGTTTGGTGAGCTCTGTTTGATGAGATGAATGTATATTCTCTCTAGTTTGAGTGGAGCATCACCATTCTTGGGTGAAACCAAGCAGGAGACTCTCACCAACATTTCTGCTGTGAACTATGACTTTGATGAAGAGTATTTCAGTAATACCAGTGAGCTGGCCAAGGACTTCATCCGTCGGCTGCTTGTCAAAGACCCCAAGTATGATGTTCTGGGGCTGTGGGAGGGGTAGGACTATAATTGGGTGGTACATGTGGTGTGGTGGGATGACCTTGCTTGGGTTGGAATCCTAGCACTGCTGCTAACTGATAGGTAACTTTGGCAAAGTCATTTATCTTCTCTGGGTCTGCTTATTGGTTAATGGGGCTTTGAATGGGTATCCCTTCCAACTCTAGATTCTAGAGGTGGTGAGTCATGAATGAGTCTAAGTTTTCTTTCCTTCTTTTTTTTTCCATTTAATTAAATCTTTATTCAAGAAAATGATGTATGAAAACTTACGTATGTAAGAATTCAGCTCTACGTGAGAGATGATGGGATATTCAGTTTTAAACATATACACAGAGCAGAGCTATCAGATATTATTCCTCTTCCCCTCCCCACTTTATTTCTGTCATTTTTGGTTCCTGCTTTGTCCCTTGAGCTATTGCTATTATTGCCCTAAGGGAATAATGGATGTTATTTATTATTTTCAAACCAATAAGGATTTCAGGCACAACATTAAACCAAAAAAACAAATAAACAAACCACAACTTGATAATGAGCATCAAAGCCAAATGCTTATCCCAAAAAGCAGGTACAGCCATTTACCCATCTTTCTGTATTCCTTTTTGATGTTTAAATCTGAAATTGACAAAATTCTCCTTCCTTCTAATTGTTGACTTGAAATATTACTCTCCCTCCCTGCTCCTGGCCTGTTGCTTCAGCTAATCTTTCTGTGACTCAGTTTTTCTGTTTGTCAGATGGGGATAATACATATCATACTTACATAGCGTGGTTTGAGGTAGAAATTAGATTGTAAATGCTGTATAACTATAAGGTGGTATTATTCCAGGAAAAGGATGACCATTGAGCAGAGCCTGGAGCATTCATGGATTAAGGTGAGTAGAGTTTAGGCCACTCTGCCCTTGGGTTCACAGGGCATTGGGCTAGTATTTGGCAGAGCATTCTCATGGACTGACTCAGTGGTCTCACTTTGAACTGAGCTTGACTTTTTTAATTGTCCCACTCTAGCTTTGTTCATAGGATTAGAATGGTCTCTTCCCATTTCTGGGTGTTTTGGGGACTCTTCAACCTGTGTAGTCTGCTTGAGGGGCAGCAATTGGGCAGGGCCAGTAGATAACAGAAACTGACCATGTCCAAGACTAGTGTTGTTTGTCTTGTAGCTTCTTGAAAAGGAACTTGGGGAAATTCTGAAGTCCTCCTCCTTCCCTACACAGCCCTAGTAGGCTTGCTTGAAGATTTTTTTCCTGGATAGTTTTCCCCTTACGTTCAACTCATACTGAAAGAACTTCAGAGCATTCCTCCCTCAGTGCCCAATCTTGTCATTAGTATAGAGCATTCCCCGGCCCTCCATGCAGGTCACTTTGCCCTAAAGAAGTCCTTGTATACCCAACTACTCTCTTATCCCACGCAGGTGATTAAGAGAAGGAATGTTCGGAATGAGGACAGTGGCAAGAAGCCAGAGCGTCGGCGGCTGAAGACAACCCGCCTCAAGGAGTACACTATCAAATCCCACTCGAGCATGCCCCCGAACAACACATACATCAACTTTGAGCGCTTTTCTAAGGTACTGGAGGAGGTGGCAGCAGCTGAAGAGGGCCTGCGGGAGCTGGGGCGAAGCAAGAAGCTGTTCCGTGAGGACATTGAGGTCCTGACTTCTATCTATGAGGAGAAGGAGGCCTGGTATAAGGAGGAGAACGAGAGCATTGGCCAGGACCTACGGCTGCTTCGTCAGGAGCTGCACAAGACCGAGGCCCTGAAACGGCAGGCCCAAGAAGAGGCTAAGGGAGCTCTGCTGGGGGCTAATGGGCTGAAACGCCGCTTTAGCCGCCTGGAGAACCGCTTTGAGGCCCTGGCTAAACAGGTGGCATCAGAGATGAGGTTTGTTCAGGACCTGGTGTATGCCATGGAGCAAGAGAAACTGCAGGATGGGGATTGCAGTGTGCGTTAGTGGTTCTCCGGGCTGGCGGAGAGGAGTGGCGACAAAGGGAGGAGAGTCAGACCAAATGTCCAACAGCCCTCTGAGGCAGAGGGAGACTGTGATTGATAACTTGGATGAAGATAGAGGATCTGGGATTGGCTGCTCTCCTATATCCCTACCTCTCTAAGGGCCCTCTAGCAAAGAGTCAGACAGTGCTGACATTCCTTTTATTTACCCTTCCTAGGAGGCTCTGATTTTTTTCTGAATCAGAGGGACAGGAGGCAGGGATTGGCCAAAATGGAATGTCAGCATGAAATAAGAATGTACTGAGTGATATCAGGTTCTGCAACATTGCTGCTTACCCTGGCTTAGTCACAGTTTGGATTGGGTGAATTTGAAAAACACCAACTTCCTTTATTCTGCCTCAGGATATGAAGAAGTTTCCCATAATTCATGCAACTGAGGGATATACTAGGCTTGAGGGGCACTACTGTTGTCATCACAACCCCCTTGCTTGGTAAAACAGAAAAAGTGCAAATGTTACTTATGCCACTGGACAGATAGCTGATTGTCTTCTGGAGGAGCCTCACTCTGGTGGGCCTGCCACCAGCCCCTGAATGGAGAATAACATGAACAGTGTCTGTTATATGCATCTAGAGAAATTCTGAAGAGGGCCCTCATATCTTGACCTGACCTTATTTGAGAAGATACCACTGTTAGCTAAGACTTGCAGAGGCACAGGCTACTTGTAGCTGTAAGCTATAATGAAAACGTGGAACTGCTTGAGAATAAAATAGGACATCCTCCCAAAATTAGACACAATTGGAATATATATGTATTTTTAAAAATTTAGTGAATGCTCTTCTAGCCTTTTCTGTGTAAATGCACTAAGTGAGAGAAAATCTTACTCCTGTGTAAAAGCACAGTTGATATTAAACACAGACCATTCAGACTCTGTCCCAGCATTGAATGGTAGCCCAGGCCCAGTGGCTGCCCTGGCACCCTCCTTACTCTCGGGGCTTCCTGGCCATTAGCTTACCGGCCAGGGTCATTTGTTACCCTGTATATGGGTACCCAAACATTTTTCTTTGGTTTATGGCCATGGCTGCAGCAAAGCCCAGTGCCATCTGTGACTGTTTCAGACTCATTATCACCCAGAATGTTTAGAGAAGAGCTGGGCTGGTTCCTTATTTTCATTTCCCAGGCTAGTCTGTTCACTCTTACTGCCTTTCTCCCTAGCTGCTGGCAGTTCTACTGCACAGGGTGTCCCAAAAACCTTAGTGCAGTGTTACGCCCAAGTAGATTAAAACTGCATTAAGACTTTGTATTTTTTGAAGCCAAATTTCTAGAAATCCTTAGGCCATTTTCAGTTGCACCCAGGCAAACTCCTTGAGGGCAAGGACAGTGTTTTATTTTTCAGGACTGGTTTTTTCCATCTGTAATTATACTTGCACTACCTACCTCAGAATTGTTGGGGGAAAAGTGCTTTGCAAAACTTAAGAGCGTCACAGCAATATGAATTGTTATTATCTTGCTTTTCTCCTCAGCACCTAGTACATAGTACCTTATACTTGATTGTTGACTCTTTTTTGAATGCTGAGTCAAGCTTTTTGGGTTTGGAGACTTCCCCCTTCCTTGAGCTCCTGGATGGGCAGTTAATGGTAGGATTCAGCAAATTCAACCCAACTCACATTTGAGTACCTACTACATGTAGAGTCCTGTATCTACTAAGTGCTGAGAGACAGAAAGAAAATTAGGTGGTTCCTTCCTGCACTTATGGAGCCTACCATATTGTAGATCATATTAAAAAGGGTTAAAACCAGAAAAAGTCATTTAATTCATTGGGGTCAAACTCAAATAGAAATGAGGCTATTAAACCATAAATAAATATCTCTTAGGGCTGCATATTGACTTAGAAAACAACGTATTAACATTATTTATGTTCTGTTGTATTTTTATTTATTTTGTTAAATATTTCCCAATGACATTTTAATGTGGTTCAGGCCTGAGTGTTTCAGGCTATAATGTGGCTGGGCCTTGTGTTTGACACCTCTGATCTGTCCTCATTTTACAGCTTTAGAAACAGGTCCAGAAAAGTTGTGACATGTCCATAGGAAAGGGAAAGGATGTTTTAAAAAGCATGAGTTGTTCATAGAATCCTGGATGTAGAGCTCGAAGGGACCTGAGGGGTCACTTAGTGCAACCTTTTCATTTTTCACATGAGGAAACAGATCCAAATAATGTAGAGAACCCTTCAGGGTAACTTGCTGAACCTGTGACAGGCCAGGTCAATCAGAGCCCTAAGCAGTCTTTACAGATCATGTCAAATATTTGTGAATCAACAGTGGTGCTTAGCAATGCCCTCAGAGCATGGGAATACACAGGAAAGAACACTTAGAAACTCATCCCCTCAAAGAGCAGCTCACCTGTCCAGGAGTCCCTTTATGGAATACCTAGACGGTATTCTGTTGAGCTGGCTGTGAAGAGAATTCAGTTTTCCTGTGGGTTTTCATTATAGAATTGGAATGTTCCCATAATAGACTGAATCAAATACTTTTTCATGAATAATGAGTTCATGTGGTGATCAGACTTATGACGTCATAGATGTTTCTAATTCTAGCATCTCTTATTTCACTTCTTTTCTTCCTATCAGCCTTTTCTCAGATCATGAAAATTTTTTCATGGGGATCCCAATTCTGGTTGGGTAATTTAGGTTATGTAATAGGCAATAATCCCATTCTTGACCACCAGATGCTGTCTTCTAACAAATTATATATGCTGGCCTGAAAAAAAAAAACAAGTTTGAGGCTGTAGGTTTTGTAAAATGAATCAGTGCCCAATATTACCTAGTTCTTTTAAGTTTGGAAATCTGTAAAAACAAGTGGACCTAAAGAAATAGATATCTGGACAATCTTTTCTTAGTCTAGAGAGTGGTTGGGCATACTTTTAGGATACTGGGGTTAGGAATGGAGGCTATAGTATGATGGTATGAAGTGTCAGAAATACCTTCTTCCCTAGGATTAAATTGATGGGGAGGGGAGGGGAGTTTCTGTTTAGCTGTTTATAGAGGGATAATTAGAAGGGCTTAAGAATCACAACAGTGATGATCCAGGCCCTGAAGCACTAGTGATGGTGAAAGTACCTCCCATCATTCATTTTAAAAACTATTTATTAAGGGATTAGTGTGTGTGAGGCATTTTGCTAGGTGCTGGGGACATAAAGACAAAAATGAATTCATTCTTGCCCTCCAGGAGCTTATGTTCTACCTAGAAGAGACAAGTGGGCTCATGGTGTCTAAAGCTTCCTGGAGAGCAGGAGGGCAGGGGATCTGGTTCTAGGGGAGGGGGCTCCACCCCCCATCCCCCACCTTAGTGTATGGCTCCTGCCTGGTCAAGACTTAATACCTCTTACCCTCTTCCTATGCTTTGTTATTCCCATAGATATATGTAACTTGGGACTCTATAGTGTTCCCTGGTCTATAGCTATTGTGTATGCATGTTCCTGAGTGCCTGTAATGCACACGCATATGCAATATGTCACAAACTGAAAGGAAATAAAACTTTTATACTTCTTGGATCCCTGGGCTGTACTCTGGTTCATTCTCTGGATTGTAGGAAGAAAGCTTAATCCTTAAGGCCTAGGCAAGTTTAATTTTTTTAAAATTATGTTTATTTCTTAATATTTATTTTTTTATTTTGAGTTCTTAATTCTCTCCCTGCCATTGAGAAGGGAAGCAATATGATACCTATTATACATATGAAGTCATATAAAACATTTCCATAGTAACTATGTTGCAAAAAAAAAAAGTGGAAAAAATATGATTCAATTTACATTCTGAATTTATCAATTCTCTCTCAGGAGGTGGGTGGCATTTTTCATCATAACTTCTTTGGAATTGTGAATTGTATTGATCAGAGTAGCTAAGTCTTTGACAGTTGAGGATTATTATTTTTTTTACATTCCGATTAAACATATTTTCACGTTAGTGATGTTATAAGGAAAAATCAGAACCAATAAGAGGAAGAAAACAAAACAAAACAGAAGGAAAAATAGCAAATAGTATGCTTCAATCTGCTTTCAAACTCCATAGTTCTTTCTTTGGATATGGATAGCATTTTCCATCATGAGACATTTGGAGATGTCTTAGATCCTTGTGTTGCTGAGAAGGGCTAAGTCTATCAAAGTTAGTCATCGCACAACATGGCTATTACTGTGTACAACGTTCTCCTGGTTCTGCTCACTTAACTCAGCATCAGTCCATGCAAGTCTTTCCAGGTTTCTCTGAAGTCTGCCTGCTCAGCATTTCTTATAGCATAATAGTATTCCATTACATTCATATACCACAACTTGTTCAGCCATTCTCCAATTGATGGGCATTCCCTCAATTTCCAATTCTTTGCCACCACAAAAAGAGCTGCTATAAATATTCTTATACATGTGGGTCCTTTTTCCATTTTTATGATCTCTTTGGGATACAGCCCTAGAAGTGCTATTGCTGAGTCAAAAGGTCACAGTTGATTATTGTTAACATAATGCTATTGTGTACAATGGTCTTCTGGTTCTGCTTTGTTTACTTTGCATCAGTTCATATAAGTCTTCCCAGGTTTTTCTGAAACCATCCACTTCATCATTTTTTACAGCACAATAGTATTCCATCCCAATCATATACCACAATCTATTAAGCCATTCCCCAATAGATAGGCATTTCCTCAATTTTCAATTCTTTGCCACCAGAAAAAGAGCTGCTATAAATATTTTTGTACATATGGTTCCTTTCCCTTTGATCCTTTCGGATACAGACCTAGTAGTGGTATTTCTGAGTCAAAGGTAGGCACAGTTTTATAGCCCTTTGGGCATAATTCCAAATTGTTCTCCAGAATGGATAGACCAGTTCACAGCTCTGCCAAACATTAGTTACACCATTAGTTTAACTCTTTCCCCTCATCCCCTCTAGGCAGGCTTTATTTTTTAAAAAAAAACCTTAAATTTTTAATTAGCCAGGGACCAGTTATTTTGTGGGTTAATTAGAGTCTTTGCTTCCTTCCCTGTTAATTGTTCTACTGCTCATTACTATTGCTTTTGGAGGAAAAGCTGGGGGAAAGAGTAGAAACTGAAATCCCTTTATTTAATTTACATTATTAAAAATTATCAAGGACTCCCCTGTCCTCCCAAGAGCTTTTGTGTAAGTGGGTTATGCCTTTCAATATTTACTGATTAGAAATTAAAGCGTCTCAGCATTATGAAAAGTTTTGACCTTGTGGACCTCCTGAACCACTGATACAGGAGGTTCTCATCGCGTAAGGAGTTTTTGTAGAAATCCCTGAGAACAGGGAAACCTTAATACTATTTTGTATCCATGAGAAGGAAGAATCACAGAATGTTAGAACTAAATGGGATCTGAGAGATCATAGAATTCAGCCTTCCTTCCTTTCTTTCTTTCTTTCTTCCTTCCTTCCTTCCTTCCTTCCTTCCTTCCTTCCTTCCTTTCTTTCTTTCTTTCTTTCTTTCTTTCTTTCTTTCTTTCTTTCTT